ACACACACACACACACACACACACACACACACACACACATGGATATTCCAGAGAAGCAATGCATTTGAGGGAAGAGTGCTTGAAGCGAAGTTGGACTGTCATCGTCGTTCGTTCCTGGAACATGCGCTGAAGAACCCTCTCAGCTGATTTCTGCTGAAGCCAATCTCCGTGTGATTATTATCGCTGTTCCCCGTCGATAAGCGCAAGCAGACAGCCTTGACAACCCTTCCTCACCTTCACACTGTGCTCTTGCCTCCTTGTGCCTCAGAGAGCGAGTCATCTGGAGACTCGACTTGAGTGCAAAGGAGAGCTGCAGAGATTTCAGTTGGAGGAAGGATGGACAGATGATGAATGGATGGATGAAGGGATAGATGCATGGATGCATGGATGAATAGGTAGATGAATAGGTGGACGGATAGATGGATAGGGGCACGGGGAAAGTACACAAACATCTCACTCACAAGACCTGTAGTCTTCTGTCAAGATGATCAGCAAACCCGTAAAGTGCGCGTTCCAATTGGAAGATTTAACATCGTCAACCACCGTCTTCTGCCTTCTATCCAACACACCCAGGAAATAGATAGATGGGTGGATGGATGGGTGGATGGATGAATAGGTGGGGAAGGGTGGATGGAAATGATGAGTCACTGGATTGGATCAATGGATAGAATTCAATCGATCAGCGGATTGATCTACTGTTTCCATATAGGACGACAAGGAGAGAAGAATACGGACGATCTGAAGAAGTTGGGTGAAGCTGTTATAGAATCGAGGAGAGAGGAGAAGAGGATGGGATCTATATAGATGCGACATGGAGGCCCTGTATATGGCTGGAAAACAGTGGAAAGTCGATGCAGGATGGATGCATGATGGACAAATGATGACAAGACCTCTGTTTCAGTGTGGACACAACCAACACTGATCATCGATAGGGCTCTCTGCAAAGAGTCCCACTTTACGGAAGTGAGGCATATCACTTTATGGAAGTTTATGCTTTCCTGGTATTGACTTGGCGAAGCAAGAAGATGATCCCTGAGCGCTTTTTAGCTGTCGACAGGAGGCAAGAAGACGGCGAATGACTACAGTATGAATGGATGGATGGATGACCCTACATTTGTTTTGAAATTCCTTGCGACCCTTTCCCGACTTCTAATGAGATTGTGAGGGCTGTAGACCCAGTCTACGGTGTGTGTACAGAGGAGAGAAAGTTAGAGGAACGACATTTGGTTTGGAATTCCTTGCGACCCTCTCCCGACTACTCGAGGCGTCCCTCACTCTCTCATTTTGAGCAGGTGGTTGAGAAAGTGAGAGAGACGACATTTAACGGGACGACGACAACGGAGAGCAGGCGGAGGAAGAAGAGGAGGAGGAGGAGGAGGAGGAGGAGGAGGAGGAGGAATGGTTGAGCAGTAGTGCAAGATCTCAGATCATTCCGAAGGCGCTGGCACTACTTGACGCAGTGTTGCAAGATCTCAGATCATTCTGTTTTCAAACTGTTGTACACAATGTACGGTCTGGATTCACAAACTGTTGTACGCAACGTACGGTCTGGATTTCAAACTGTTGTACACAATGTACGGTAGAACTGCCGACCGTGTTTGCACTGTGGCTACGAGTGTGAACTGCCGTCGTCTCTACCGTGTTTGCACTGTGGCTACGAGTGTGAACTGCCGTCGTGTCTACCGTGTTTGCACTGTGGCTACGAGTGTGAACTGCCGTCGTCTGTGCAGGCTGATGGAGGATGATGCTTATCCGTCTGCCGCCGAAGACAAACAGGTGTCATAGGGACAGAGACTGACAACAACTCTGTCAGAGACTGAGAACAACTGTAGCATACAAGTGCCATCACCCACGAAGAAGCTGGTTGCCTTTTTCGTTTCCGCTGTGAGAAGTCTGCCGGTTGGAGACGGGGTGTGACTGTTTTGCATGGGAATAGGACATGATCTGAGAGTAGAGTGAAAAGAACTTCCTCCTTGGAGTGGGGGGAGGAGGAGGAGGACGAGGAGGAGGTGGTGGAGGTGGAGGTGGAGGTGGAGGCTTGATGTCGTTGTCCATGATTAGGAGGAATTTGAAGCTCTCACTTGTGGAAAGGGCAAGGAAGGTCTAGTCTTTTTCGTTTCTCTGCGATTCGAAATCTCCAGATTGCAAAAGGTGTGGTTGTGTCATGTGGTGTGGCGATAGGTAAGCACAGTGAAAAGAGCTTTCTGTGTGAAGGGAAGATTGGAGGAGTTGCAGAGGAGGGAGAGGAGGAGGCGGCCTGCTCTCCTTAGCAATGATCAAAGGATTTTTTAGTTGCACGTCTGGGAAGGACAGGGGAGGGAAGGACGGGGGAGGGAAGGACGGGGGAGGGAAGGACACGGGAGATCGTACTGAAGACAGCTATATAGTACATGGAATGAACGCGGCGCCGCGGAGAGTTCTTGCCGAATGTTTTACTAGAGATTCTTGGCCCCGATTGCCTGTTGGTTTTTTCTTCATTCATTTTTTCAAGTATGCCTCTCTTCGTCTCCTGTTGAAGTGTGCTACCCAACCCAAGGCAGCAGCTTGTGTACTCTATGGTCGTCAGCTCGACGAGCTCCTCTAGTCGAGTGTGCGTATGGAGAAAGACGCTCAACTTTGAAGCATCTTATTGTTCAATGTTCATTTTTTGTTTCTTTGAAAACTCTTTGTTTTGTGATATGGCACACCAATTGTGTGCTTTTTCTTTATTTCATCCAATCCAAGGCTCTCGATCACAGAGTACTGCAGCCTGCCCTGCCCTGGCTCAATGAGGTGCCGCAACGGAGCGTGTACATGCATGGCTGACAAGATAGTGAGAAACCACTTTTTGCTTTCTCTTTTTCCAGTGATAAACAACTTAATGTATGCATTTTCTCCTTTTTCATTTTTTTCCACGTTTTTTGTGTGGCTGACAACAGTTCGCCATGGCTCGATGAGGTGCCCCAATGAGGCTTTCTTTTTTTTGCTCTGTGCGTGTGTGAGGGTGGGTGTGGCGGTGGGGG